CTATGATCAAATGGGCAGTCAACATAGGCAGATCTATAAAATTCGAAGAATGGGAACAAATATGGACCAAAAAAATTAAATACACATATTCAACAGATTTAAAAGAAAACTGGTTTAAAATGTTTTTCTAAAGGTACGTGACACCTCAAAAATTAGGTTTAATGTATAAGACAGCAAATAATAAGTGCTGGAAATGTGAAACCCAGGTAGCAACGTTTTTCCACTCCTGGTGGATGTGTGCCAAAATAAAAATTTATTGGAAAACAGTTCAACAAGTGTGTCAAAAAATACTCAAAATAAAAATCTTGCTGAAACCGGATTACTATCTACTAGGACTTACTGATGAAGACATGGCACTCGATCAAAACAAAGATATTCTATTCACCTACTTAACCACTGTGGCCAGGATGGTATACACAAAACAATGGAAACAAAAAGAGCTGGCAACAGAAGAAGAAGGGCTAGATAAGGTGAGGGAAATAAAAGAAATGGATAAACTGACATTTTACTTAAAAGACTCGATAATGAAAACCGATTGGAAATTATTTCACGAATATATGGCTGGCCAATAAAGGAAGGTCTCCTCTAGAAGAATAAACGAAGATTGAATATAGAGAAGTCACAATGACTTCGGAATACAGAAAAAGAGCAATACTTTCAAGATGAGGGGGAGAAGCCAAAGTTACAGGAAAAAATTAAGTAAAAATGAGATTATTATTATTATTATTATTATTATTATTATTATTATTATATGAGAACTAGGGGATAAGAAGATTGGGAAGTTCTGTGCAACCCCTTCCCCTTCGTTCCTATATCCTTATCTTCCCCATCACCCCGTTCCTACATGTTTATTTCCCCCACAAAGATCTCGCTTTTCTTCTTACCCAAACTTTCCTTACCCAAGACCCATCCTATCCTCAAATCCGTCCCTCTTATTTTATATCTGTGGTATTATACAAGCATTAATATATATATATATATATATATATATATATATATATATCACAGCATTTCTCAACCTGGGGGTTGGGACCCCTGGGGGATTGCGAGAGAGTGTTAGGGGGTCACCAAAAACCACAGTTCATCATGGTGATTCTGTGTGGGAAATTTGGCTCAATTCTATTGTTGGTAGGGTTCAGAATGCTCTTTGATTGTAGATGAACTATATATCCTAGCAACTACAGATCCCAAATGTCAAGGTCTATTTTCCCCTAACTCCACCAGTGTTCACATATGGGCATATTGAGTATCTGTGCCAAGTTTGGTCCAGATCCATCATTGTTTGAGTGCACAGTGCTTTTTGGATGTAGGTGAACTACAACTCCAAAACTCCAGGTCAATGCCCACCAAACTCTTCCAGTATTTTCTGTTGGTCATGGGAGTTCTGTGCAACAAGTTTGGTTCAATTCCATCATTGGTGGAGTTCAGAATGCCCTTTGATTGTAGGTGAACTATAAATCCCAGCAACTGCAACTTCCAAAGGAAAAAAAATCCTTGCGGTAGGGCAGGACTTGGTTCACAAATATATGACTGGCCAATAAAGGAAGATTCGTCCCTCCTCCTGGTCTTGGAAGGGTGGGATGTGGTGGAACGCTGGCGTCCACAGGACAGGCAAGCAGTCAGTCCTCCCGGGATTCATCCCTCCTGGTCTTGGAGGGTGTGGCAGGGTTGAACGCTGGCCTGGCCTCCGCATATCTTGGAAACAGGCTAATGTAATTTTAGTTTATGAGATACATTTCATTTTTTCATGAACAATAGTTCTGAGAGGTCTGGTCTATTAAAATGTACCAAACATAAAGATAAGTTACGGTTGCATAGTTTTGCTCAAAAGTGGTGTAATGTGGAAGTATGAATGTCAGAAAGTTGGGAATAGGGTTCCCCTGTAACAGTGGTTCTCAACGTTCCTAATGCCGCGACCCCTTAATACAGTTCCTCATGTTGTGGTGACCCCCAGCCGTTAAATTATTTTCATTGCTACTTCATAATTGTAATTTTGCTACTGTTATGAATCGTTATGTAAATATCTGATATGCAGGATGTATTCTCATTCACTGGACCAAATTTGGCACAAATACCCAATATGCCCGAATTTGAATACTGGTGGGGTTGGGATGGGAGGATTGATTTTTGTCATTTGGGAGTTGTAGTTGATGGGATTTATAGTTCACCTACAATCACAGAGCATTCTGAACTACACCAACGATGGAATTGGGCCAAATTTGGCACACACAACTACCATGACCAACAGAAAATACTAGAAGGGTTTGGTGGGCATTGACCTTGGGTTTTAGAGTTGTAGTTCTCTACATCCAGAGAGCACTGTGGACTCAAACAATGATGGATCTGGATCAAACTTGCCATGATGATTCTATGCCCAAATGTGAACACTGGTGAAGTTCGGGTAAAATAGACCTTCAGATTTGGGAGCTGTAGTTGCTGGGATTTATAGTTCACCTACTACCAAAGAGCATTCTGAAGCCCACCAACAATAGAATTAAGCCAAACTTCCCACACAGAACTCCCATGACCAACAGAAAATACTGTCTGTGATGGTCTTTGGCGACCCCTCTGACACCCCCCTCGCGACCCCTTCAGGGGTCTCGACCCCCAGGTTGAGAACCACTGCCCTATAACCTTTTGTCATTTCCATAAAGAGTCAAGGAGGCAGCTCTTTTATTTTTCTTGTAATATACCTTATTACTAAAATTACTTTAAAAATTGTCAAAAATCTGTGGATTGTCTGAACATGTTGAAATTTGGCATGCAGTCAGAGGAAGATGTTTTCTACCATCAGGATTGGTCTAAAAATGAGGGAGAGAGAATGCCCTGAAGTTTGCCCAGTACCATTTGCTGTTTTTCGCATATTGCGCAATTGCGTCCGTCATTAATGAAGCGATTCAGAAATTTCAGAAAGTTCCGATTTTTTGGGGGGGAAAAATTCAGAAATCAGTTCCAAATCGAACCACTAGCTACATTTGAAATGAGTTTTGAATCATTTTTTTTAAAATCAACCACTATCTTAAAACATATTGGAGCCAATGCAGGGTGCTTCCAAGTAAATAACCAGAGGGTTTGGCTGGTAAATCAGTAACCGGGCCAATAGCTTCTGACGTCTGGGTTGTGTTACATTCCGCAAGTGAGATAACATGCTTGCTTTAAAAACAGAATACAAATAATTGATACCTACAGCTGGCAACCCGCAATTATTTATTCAGATTAGGAACTCCTTTCCACATAATGGGCGCCCTCTATAGCTTTCCTGGTGTGGTAGTTTGGCCTGGGTTGAACCTCCACCCCACTGTCTTGAAAGGTAGTTGAATGAGCAAAGAACTATGGCTCTCCAAAGAGAGATGTTTCTTCTGGAGAAGAAAAGACAGAGACGAAATGTGAGAGCCAGGTGTAAATGTCTGAAAGGATGCCACATTGAGACAGGGCCAAACTTGTTTTTTGTTGTTTAGTGAGTCATTGAAAGCGTCTTCTTTCGTTCCAAAGTCTTTGTTTGTTGTCATTTTAAAAGCATGTCTCCTCATAGGTGTGTCTTGAACTCTTGTCCCAAGACACCCTAGAGCAGTAGTTCTCAACCTTCCTAATGCCGCAATCCCTTAATACAGTTCCTCATGTTGTGGTGACCCCCAACCATTAAATTAAACCATTTGATGTATTTTGGGCTTGGCCTCATGTAAGCCGCACTGAGTCCCTTGGGGAGATGGTAGCGGGGTATAAATATTATTATTATTATTATTATTACTAGCTGTCCCCTGCCACGCGTTGCTGTGGCCCAGTCTGGTGATCTGGAAAATAAAGTAATGAGAAAGTCTTGATTTCTAATATATGTAATTTCTTTATGCTTGTGGGTAAACAGTATTTCTTGCTGTTTCTTTGTCAGTGTTGATGTGGAGATTGTCTGGTTTGCCTACTCTGGAACATGCAACATATCATTGTCCTTCTTTAGGGGTCCCTTTCAAATCTTTGATACTACATCTGTCATGTGTGTGAATCATATATATCTATCTATATCTATGGCTGGATGGCTCTTTGTCAAGAGGGCTTTGATTACATTTTCTTGCCCTGGTGAAGGGAGTTGGACTGGATGGCCTTAAGTATTTTCTGTTGGTCATGGGGGTTCTGTGTGGGAAGTTTGCCCCATTTCTGTCGTTTGTGGGTTTCAGAATGCTCTTTGATTGTAGGTGAACTATAAATCACAATAACTACAAATCCCAAATGTCAAGATCTATTTCCTCCAAACTCCATCTGTGTTCATATTTAGGCATATGGAATATTTGTGCCAAGTTTGGTCCAGATCCATCATTGTTTGAGTCCACAGTGCTCTCTGGATGTAGGTGAACTACAGCTCCCAAACTCAAGGTCAATGCCCACCAAACCCTTCCAGTATTTTCTGTTGGTCATGGGAGTTCTGTGTGCCAAGTTTGGTTCAATTCCATCATTGGTGGAGTTCAGAATGCTCTTTAATTGTAGGTGAACTATAAATCTCAATAACTACAACTTCCAAATGTCAAGGTCTACTTCCCCCAAACTACATCTGTGTTCATAGTTGGGCATGTGGAATATTCCTGTGAAGTTTGGTCCAGATCCATCATTGTTTGAGTCTACAGTGCTCTCTGGATGTGGGTGAACTATAATTCCCAAACTCAAGGTCAATGTCCACCAAACCTTTCCAGTTTTTTCTGTTGGTCATGGGAGACCTGTGTGCTAAGTTTGGCCCAATTCCATCATTGGTGGAGTTCAGAATGCTCTTTGATTGTAGGTAAACTATAAATCCCAGCAACGACAATTCCCAAATGACAAAATCAATTTTTTTGAGTGGAGGACATAAATTGGACTGTTAGGTGTCTTGTGTCCAAATTTGGTGTCAATTCCCCCAGTGGTTTTTGAGTTCTGATGGTAGCACGAACTAACTTTACATTTTTATTTATATAGATTATTATTATTATTATTATACATCTATATTTTTTTTTTTTTTTGTCCCTCTGTACCTGCAGGTGTGCCAAAATGCTTTCAGATTCTTGAATGACTGCGAAGCGGCAGACTTTGGAGGCAAAGCCATCCTAAGGACCGAGGGGGGAGCTGCAGCGGATCCGGGGCCAATGCAGCAGCAAAAAAGGCAGCCAGAGTTAGTGGAAGGAAACCTTCCCATCTTTGTGTTTCCCACCGAGCTTATATTTTATGCCGACGACCAGTCAACGCACAAACAGGTGTTGACTCTCTATAATCCCTATGAATTTGCCTTAAAGTTCAAAGGTGGGTCTCAGGTACAACTCCGTTGAAGGGGCACTTGGGTGATGCAACTGTGTTGGTTTTGAGCTTTCCAATGCTGGGGATTGAGAGGCAAAGTTGAAAGCTACGATTGGTTGTTGTTGTTTTTACTGTTTACATCAGTGCTTCTCAACCTGTGGGTCCCCAGATGTTTTGGCCTTCAACTACCAGAAATCCTAGCAGCTGGTAAACTGGCTGGAATTTCTGGGAGTGGTAGGCCACAGGTTGAGAACCACTAGTTTACATATTCAAGGCGCACGTTGCCTTACTACCGGGGGTTTTCTTTCTTTCTTTCAGTTCTTTGTACAACTCCAAATAAATATGCTGTCGTGGACGCCGCAGGTGCAGTGAAGCCTCAGTGCTGCGTCGATATGTGAGTAAACTCTTGGAGGAACTCCTTATCGAATCATAGGCCTAAAATTCCCCATAGGGGATTCTGGATGTTGTAGTCCATTTTTTTCCCTACGCTCCCTACTCTTAATTGTGTGGTCCTTCCTTTGAAAGTAGTTGTTCTACTCCAAAAACTTTGTTTTTGTGGCTGCCACAAACTAGAATGAATTGGTTTAGACCAGGGATCCTCAAACTAAGGCCCAGGGGCCGGATATGGCCCTCCAAGGTCATTTACCCAGCCCTCGCTCAGGGTCAACCTAATTCTGAAACAACTTGAAAGCACACAACAACAATAACAATCCTATCTCAACAGCCACAAGCAGGCCTACACTTCCCATTGAAAATACTAATAAGTTTATATTTGTTAAAATTGTTCTTCATTTTAATTATTGTATTGCTTTTAAGGGTTTTTTTTTTTTGCACTACAAATAAGATATGTGCAGCGTACATAGGAAATCATTCAATTTTTTTGTTTATTTTCAAATTATAATCTGGCCCTCCAGCAGTTTGAGGGACTGTGACCTGGCCCTCTGTTTAAAAAGTTTGTGGACCCCTGGTTTAGACTCAGTGAGTTACCGCATATACTCGAAGATAAGCTGAGTTTTTCAAACCTTTTTTTTGTGGGCTGAAAAAGCTCCCTCGGCTTATAATGGATTTGCAGTACCTTCTACCGATTCAGCGCTGAATTCCACAGACCACTGAGACCTCCACACAGAACTCCCGGATGGCGAGAACGCAAGGCAGGCGAGGCGGGCTTTGCATGAGGCCAGGCCTCGCGCGGAGGACCTCTTGCCTGCCCCGCGCCGTCGCCAATGGTGAGAACACAAGGCAGGCGATGCGGGCTTTTGCGCGAGGCCAGGCCTTGCACGAAGGAGCCCGCGGCCTCGCAACCCCTCCAAAATGGCCAGGTGACCCCCTGGGGGTCGCGACCCCCAGGATGAGAACCACTGATCTAGCTAGACATGGTGGGTTACATATCTGTGATCATGTTTCTTTGAGTGGAACTCTGTGAATGTGTGCATTCAGAGTCCTCAAAGAAAAATCTCTCTATATACAGATAATTACATCTATATAGGATTTTCAAAAACTTGCAAACATATGAGGGGAAAATTAATATATAAAAATAATTTATACATATAGATACAGATATACAGGTACATGGAAATCTCTAGATATCTATATGTATATAGGATTTGCAAAGACCTGCAAACCTATGAAGAGAAATTCATATATAAAATTAATGTAGATAGATACAGATATATAGGTACCTATACAGTGTTTCCTCGCTCCTTTGCGGTTCGCTTATTGCGGACTCGCTGTTTCGTGGTTTTCCCTGCACGGCCCTCCTCCTCATCTTCCCTCCCTCTTTCTCTCTCTCTCTCACACATACTTTGTCTTCTCTTTCCTCTCCTCTTTCCCCTCCCTTCCTACCTCGCTCGGGTGCTCATACCACCCTCCCCTGGCAAGAGGGACACTTTCACCTGCGTGGCCCTCCTCCTTCTCGCCTTCCCTCCTTGCCTTCCTTCCTCCATGACTTTCCCCCCCGAGGCTGTGGGAGAAAAAAGAGGAGGAAGAAGAAGATGCTGGGGAGGAAACGGAGGGAGCCACTGGAGCCGCTGCCCCTTTAGCTAGGTCTCCTCCAGTGGCAGCTCCTGCAGAAGCAGTACAAGCCTTCTGAGTTCAGATGCAGCTGCCCTTCACCACTGAAACAGCAGCAAAGCCCCTCTTCCACAAAAACACATGCAAAGAGAAAGCAACATCTTGGCACCCACCCCCTGTGTCTCAGCTCATAGCCCTCCAACCTGGAGAAGACTGCAGTTTGGCAGCACTTTGACTCAAGGCTATGCAATCCAAGGAGTTGGTAGTTTTAACAAGGACTTCATCCTTCTCTGCCCAAGTACGAGTGCCTCACCAAACTACATACTTGTGCTAAGACTCCATAGCATAGAGCCACAGTGGTGTCAAACTGCATTAATTCTAAGTCTAGACATAGTCCGGTCCTGCCTCCCTTGGCTGCCTCAAAGCCCACTCTCTGGCGGGGCAAATAGGAGGAGGAGGAGAAGATGCTCCAGAGAAACACAAGCTCAACGGAGGGAGACTCAAAGGGAAAGAAGGGGGAAGGAGGAAGGCAAAGAGGGAAATAGAGGAGGAGAAAGAAGAAGGGAGAGGCAGGGAATAATTTTATGGTTGGGGGTCACCACAACATGAGGAACCATATTTAGGGGTCCCGGTGTTAGAAAGGTTGAGAACCACTGAGCTAGATATATATGAATATAGATATAGAGGGCTTGCGAATATTACAGGGGGGAAATGCACACACAAATATATATAGACATGTCTAGATAGATATGGGAGCCCCTGGTGGCACAGTGGTTTAAACCACTGAGATGCTGAACTTGCTGACCGCAAGGTCATAGGTTCAAATCTGGGGTCAGCGGGAACTCCTGCTGTTAGCCCCAGCTGCTGCCAACCTAGCAGTTCTAAAACAATCAGATTTATTTATTTGTCGTGTCAGGGCAACCAGTCAATTATATTACATTTCTAACAGAAACAAAGCAAACAAACAGACAAAATACAAATTTGTGAGTTTGGTAGTTGATTAAATGTCCTTTGACCAGTATCTGGCCACTTGGAGTGCCTCTGGTGTTGCCGCAAGAAGGTCCTCCATTGTGCATGTGGCAGGGCTCAGGTTGCATTGCAGCAGGTGGTCAGTGGTTTGCTCTTCTCCACACTCATATGTTGTGGATTCCACTTTGTAGCCCCATTTCTTAAGGTTGGCTCTGCATCTCGTGGTGCCAGAGCGCAGTCTGTTCAGCGCCTTCCAAGTCGCCCAGTCTTCTGTGTGCCCAGGGGGAGTCTCTCATTTGGTATCAGCCATTGGTTGAGGTTCTAGGTTTGAGCCTGCCACTTTTGGACTCTCGCTTGCTGAGGTGTTCCAGAGTGTCTCTGTAGATCTTAGAAAACTATTTCTAGATTTAAGTCATTGATGTGCTGGCTGATACCCAAACAGGGGATGAGCTGGAGATGTCTCTGCCTTGGTCCTTTCACTATTGGCTGCTACTTCCCGGCGGATGTCAGGTGGTGCAATACCGGCTAAGCAGTGTAATTTCTCCAGTGGTGTAGGGCGCAGACACCCCGTGATAATGCGGCATGTCTCATTGAGAGCCACATCCACTGTTTTAGTGTGGTGAGATGTGTTCCACACTGGGCATGCATACTCAGCAGCAGAGTAGCATAGCGCAAGGGCAGATGTCTTCACTGTATCTGGTTGTGATCCCCAGGTTGTGCCAGTCAGCTTTCGTATGATATTGTTTCTAGCACCCACTTTTTGCTTGATGTTCAGGCAGTGCTTCTTGTAGGTCAGAGCACGGTCCAGAGTGACTCCCAGGTATTTGGGTGCGCTGCAATGCTCCAGTGGGATTCCTTCCCAGGTCATCCTCAGAGCTCGGGATGCTTGTCTGTTCTTGAGATGAAAGGCACATGTCTGTGTTTTAGATGGGTTGGGGATCAGCTGGTTTTCCCTGTAATAGGCAGTAAGAGCACCTAGAGCTTCGGAGAGCTTCTGTTCTACCATCTCAAAGCTCCCTGCTTGAGTGGTGATGGCACGATCATCAGCATAGATGAAACTCTCTGTCCCTTCTGGCAGTGGCTGGTCATTTGTGTAGATGTTGAACATGGATGGAGCAAGCACGCTCCCCTGAGGTAGGCCGTTTGATCTACTCACAATCAGATGTGAGTAGATCAATAGGTACTGCTCCGACGGGAAGGTAACAGCGTTCCTTGTAGTCATGCCGGCCACATGACCTTGGAGGTGTCTACAGACAACGCCCGGCTCTTCAGCTTAGAAATGGACATGAGCTCCAACCCCCAGAGTCAGACACAACTGGACTTAATTGCAGGGGAACACCTTTATCTTTTACTAGATAAATATGAATATATAGGGCTTGCAAATATTGCAGGGGAAATGCGTGCGCACATGCACACATATCTATATAGAAAGAGAAATGTCTAAATAGATATAAACGTAGATTATATATGGCTTGCAAATATTGCAGGAGAGAAATGCACATATAGAGAGAGAATTTGCAAATGTTTGTAATAGGAACGAAAATCCTATTTTCTACATAGTGATCAGCCTGGAAATTCTAAAAGAGCAAAGTTTTTTTCCAGCCCCAGTTAAGTTATAAGACATCAAAAACCATAAAGCTCAATAGATGAGCCGAACGCCTCTCAAAGCCATTCGCAGAGCAATCATGTGGCCTGTCTTCTGTTGCAGCGTGATCCGTCACCGAGACGTCCGGCCGTGTCATTATGGCATGATCGACAAATTCCGGCTCCAGGTCTCTGAGCAAAGCCAGCGGAAAGCCTTGGGGAGAAAAGAAGTCATTGCCACTCTGCTGCCCACAGCGAAGGAGCAGCAACAGAAGGAGGAGGAGGAGAAGCGGATCAAAGAGCACCTGACGGAAAGCGTCTTCTTTGAGCAGGCCTTGTGTGCACCAGGTAGTTGGAGGGCACGCTGAAATGCAGGATATCACCGCCTTTTCCATTTACAGTGCTCATGCAACCTCTGTAGGGTCATATACAGGCAGCCCCCAAGTTACAAACAAGATTGGTTCTGTAGGTTTGTTCTTAAGTTGAATTTATAAGTTGAAACAGGGACATTTTAAAGTGTAAATATATATAGCACTAGCCGTCCCCTGCCACGCTGTGGCCCAGTCTGGTGATTTGGAAAATAGAGTAATGAGAAAGTGTTGGTTTCTAATATATGTAATTTCATTCTGCTTGTGGGTAAACAGTATTTCTTGTTATTTCTTTGTCAGTGTTGATGTGGAGAGTGTCTGGTTTGCCTACTCTGGAACATGCAACATATCATTGTCCTTCTTTAGGGGTTCCTTTCAAATCTATTTTATTTATTTACAGCTTTTATATTCCGCCCTTCTCACCCCGCAGGGGACTCAGTTGACTATTTGTTTGAAATCTTCTTCGGTGATTTCTTCCTTTTTCCACTTCTTATGCATGTCTCTTTTGAGTCTTAGCCCAGGTAGAAGTTCTTTGGACATCTGTTCTAGCTTCTTTGCACTTGTCCTATTTTTTCTCTTTGTTGGCACTGTTTGCAATTACGCCTTAATTATTTCATAATTTAAAAACTCCCATCCACCCGTAACTCCCTTGTCTTTTAGGATCTCTGTCCATGGAATGCTACTCAGAATTTTCTTCATTTTTTGGAAGTCAGCCACTTAACCCTTTCAGTACTTGGCTCACATTTTTGTAATTTAAAATACCTAGTTAATATTTAATATTTCTGACACTGTGCACTCTGAGCAGCACTGTTAGAGGCTGTTGTTGCAATTTTATGTGTGGCTAAAGGGAGAATGCGTCTTTCCTTTTTCCAGAGAGCAGAATTGCCTCGTCGGGGCCGAGTTTACTCACCGTCTTCCTGGGAATCGTCTGCATCGCTGCCCTCATGCTTCCCACATTGGGAGAAATGGATTCCTTGGTGCCTCTCTACCTCCATTTAAGTGTAAATCAGAAGCTTGTTGCTGCTTATGTGTTAGGTAAGCATTTCCATTGCGGCTATTACATGGAGGGTGGTCAGAATCGTGTGTGAAATTGTAAACGGCCCCTTCCGTAAAGTGGACAATCTATCAAGTTTCCCATAAACACAACTAAGGCGAGGGAGAGAGACTATTTCCTTATTATAAACCTCTTTGCTGCCTTATACTGATTCGGTTTCTTCTTTTATATTGGCTGGGGCTTTCTGTGTGCTGTTAAATCTTTGTACTTTATATCACAGACAATGAAACACTCTTGTGTATAACGAAGTAACACAGTTTATTTATAACTTCTGGCTCCAACACTTGTGGTTACATTTGTGTTTTGTTGCCATCTTGAGGCTTACAGTCAGTATCATTTACTTGGTTAACTTTTCTGAATAATCTATCAATGTTTCACATTCACAAACATGTTATTTGCTTTACACATTCTTGGCTGAATTATATTCTGAACTAAGGCAACACTAGCCTTCTTTATGTTCCTTAAAACTCGAGCTCTATTTAACTAACTGCTATTCTTTAACACATCTTCATAACTGCTTATTTCTATCAGGCACTCAAAAACCAACTCTCCTCTTCACACACAGATTCCTAACTGTCATTTTCAAACCCCCACACTCTTAACTGCCTCTTTCTGAACTTTGGCTCCGCCCTTTTGGAATGTATAGCTCTGCTCTCCCCAACTGTCATTTTGGCCTAGCAGCCTTTTCAAATCCTGGGCCTACAATAATCTGCATATGACCAATCGGCTTCACATATGCAAATGAATCCTATCTCTGCTGTTGCTACCCTGTCTGTGCCTATTCTTCGCTATCTGCCATATGTAAACATAAGAGCTATACACCAAAATTTTAACATAGAGTAGCAATTTCACTACAACAACCATTGACATCTTTTGTCATGTCCTTCCCAGGTCTCATCACCATGGTCATCCTGAGAACATGAGTGCTGATGGAATTGGATGTCGAGACCCCTTGTCTGTTGTCTTTTTAAGACTGCGTTATAAACTCACATCATGAATGTGGACCGCCTTTTGACGCCCAACTGGTTCGTTAACAGCAAAAAAACAAAAATACCAGATCCAGTGATTTACAGTATCTTTTAACTATTTTTGACTGTTTTAACTATGTTTGACTGAAGAAGAAAATAAGAGACTCGAGGGGCTTGGAGGGGCTTCCGCTTGAGATGGCTACGAATCATTCTTCCACGATGAAACGCATCAGGAGAAATTTTTATATCTATGCCGACTGTATAAAAAAAACCTTATTAAAATAGTTTGTGTTTTTATATATGTATATATATATTCACATCCATGTTTTGATCACCATCCAATCGCCAGCAGCCCTGTTGGCCATGTTTGATTTGTCTATGCCCTTTAAGTATTGCAATGAGCGCTGAAAGAGGAAACATATACAGATGAAGGAACATCCATCCAACAGTGACCAACAATATTGTGTTTACATTGCGCACTTCCTATCCATATATACCATGCATGGGGAAGCTTGGGCCCTCTGAGTGTTTTGGACTTCAACTCCCACAATTCCTAACAGCCGGTAGGCTGTTAGGAATTGTGGGAGTTGAAGTCCAAAACACTCAGAGGGCCCAAGCTTCCCCACGCCTGGTATATACCCTATTTACTCAAATCTAATGCTCACCTTTTTGGGCTAAACAGCCTTACCATGAGATTTGCATCATACAGCAATCTTAGTGCTGAGCCAAAACAAAAGGGGAAGCTGCTTCAGGAGTGCAGGACATTATATTGCTGGGATTTGTAGTTTTGTGAGGCATCCGCATCCTTTGGCAGAGAAGGAAGGCTCGAGGCCTTGTGAAACGACAGGCCTGTATGACTCCATAGCATTGAAGCGAGGCTATTTTTTTTTTCGTGTCAGGAGCGACTCAAGAAACTGCAAGTTGCTTCTGGTGTGAGAGAATTGGCTGTCTGCAAGGACTTCTAATGTTTCTAATGTTTTACTATCCTTGTGGGAGGCTTCTCTTATGTCCCCGCATGGAGAGCTGGAGCTGACAGAGGGAGCTCATCCACGCTCTCCCCCGACCTGTCAGTCTTCAGTCCTGCCAGTGCAAGGGTTTAACCGATTGCACCACCAAGACGATTAAAAGTGGTACCATTCTACATAGATGCATCCCAATTATTTTATTTTCTGTCGCTTTGGTGCAATCGCACTTTTGTGTTGGAAAGGCAAAATCCTAACCAAGCCACAACTGTAATGGACAAAGGACGACAAAGGCGCTTTTTTGTGCATTACATCTGCCAGCAAACACTTTTCTTGGTTTATTGTCGAAGGCTTTCATGGCCGGAATCACTGGGTTGTTGTAGGTTTTTCCGGGCTATATGGCCATGTTCTAGAGGCATTTTCTCCTGACGTTTCGCCTGCATCTATGGCAAGCATCCTCAGAGGTAGTGAGGTCTGTTGGAACTAGGAAAATGGGTTTATATATCTGTGGAATGACCAGGGTGGGACAACGGACTCTTGTCTGTTGGAGCTAGGTGTGAATGTTTCAACTGACTACCTTGGACAAGGACATCTAATCACCTCTCAACAAAAGATTGCTCCAGGCACTGCCAGGCCATCAAATGCTAATCAAGGTAGTCAGTTGAAACATTCACACCTAGCTCCAACAGACAAGAGTATAATCAAAGAGCATTCTGAATTCCACCAACGATGGAATTGAACTAAACTTGGCACACAGAACTCCCATGGCCAACAGAACATACTACAAGTGTGGGCAAATCTTTTGTTGAGAGGTGTTAAGATGTGCCTGGTTGTTTCCTCTCTGCTGTTTGCTGTTGTAATTTTTTTTTGTTAACACCTCTCAACAAAAGATTCCTCCAGGCTCAGCCAGGCCTTCTAATGCTAATGAAGGTGATCAGTTGAAATATTCACACCTAGCCCCATTCCCAGTCATTCCACAGATATATAAACCCTTTTTCCTAGTTCCAACAGACCTCACTACCTCTGAGGATGCTTGCCATAGATGCAGGCGAAACGTCAGGAGAAAATGCCTCTAGAACATGACCATATAGCCCGGAAAAACCTACAACAACCCACTTTTCTTGGTTTCCGGATTTTGAAAATCAGGGCACACATTAGGTCCGATCGTGCATGAGACTCGAGTCAAGACAGTCGAGTGGGACAGAGGGTCCTTACTCTACTGCGGCGATCTCCATTTACTTGCTACGGCGTCAAGCCTGCAGCCCTCCAAGTGTTGTGAACTCCAACTCCCAGAATTCCCTTTGGACAAGCTGGCAATAATAGGGGCTTCTGGGAGTGGAGTCCCAAACGAACGCCTTGAAGGCTACAAGTTGAACTCCTTAATGGCGTTCCCCAAAGACGACGGAGGCCAATATTCCCTCAATCAGTACTATCTCTTTAATGATGTGCAAACCACAAAGAGAAACCTCTATTGACAACAGCATATCTTGTAAACACGCTTGAATCCTGCTGCCCGAAGATTCCTTTCTGCAGTCTGTATATTCCTCCCTCTCTCTTCCTGTTCTCCCTGTCTCTTCCAAAGAAGCGTCTTTCCCGTTTCCTAAACCTGGTTGTGAACCGTCCTTTTGGGTTCGTTCATTTCCCATCCATTTTCCATTTGTTGTTGTTGTTTTGTTTCTGTTTTTAATACAAAAACAAACGGTCAAATGCACTTTGAACTATGTAAGGAATGTTTTGGAGAATTAAAACCTTTGCCCCTAACTTTGCAGCTTGTGGCTCACCTCTTCTGTTCTCCGGGGAAAGAGAAAGATAACTCGTCCTTACAACTCAGTAGATTTATTTATTTACAGCTTTTATATTCCGCCCTTCTCACCCCGCAGGGGACTCGGGGCAGATTACAGTGTACACATATATGGCTATTGTCCTCCCAACCCTGCTATATGCCTGCAAAATGTGGACTGTCTACAGACGTCACATACAACTCCTGGAACGATTCCATCAGTGCTGCCTCTGGAAAATCCTGCAAATCTCTTGGGAAGACAAGCGGACAAACGTCAGCGTACTGGAAGAAACAAAGACCACCAGCATTGAAGCGATGGGCCTCTGCCATCAACTCTGCTGGGCTGGCCACGTTGTCTGGATATTGTCCGCATAGACAATGAGAATTAGGAAGCCCTGGCTCTTGAGCGCTCCAGCTGGAGGTCAGCTGTGACCAGCAGTGCTGCAGAATTTGAAGAGGCACAAATGGAGGGCGAAAGAGAGAAATGTACCAAGAGGAAGGCACATCAAGCCAACCCCAACCGAGACTGCCTTCTACCTGGAAACCAATGCCCTCACTGCGGAAGAACATGCAGCTCAAGAATAGGGCTCCACAGCCACCTACGGATCCACAAGAATACTGATCATGGAAGCCTATCCTACTCGTCCAACAAGGGATCGCCTGACCACTGTCTCCCACCGAAATACAACATAGCCTGAGCTCTGCGAGTGCATCATTTTTCCAAATGAAGCAGAGAGTGTTTGAGGACCGGGACATCCGTAGGGATACCAAGGTGCTTGTTTATAAAGCGATTGTCCTCCCAACCCTGCTATATGCCTGCAAAACATGGACTGTCTACAGACGTCACATGCAACTCCTGGAACAATTCCATCAGCGCTACCTCCGAAAAATCCTGCAAATCTCAGGCGGACAAATGTCAGTGTGCTGGAAGAAGCAAAGACCACCAGCATTGAAGCGATGGTCTTCCACCATCAACTCCGCTGGGCTGGCCACGTTGTCCGCATGCCTGACCACCGTCTCCCAAAGCAATTGCTCTACTCTGAACTTAAGAATGGAAAACGGAACGTTGGTGGGCAGGAAAAGAGATTTAAAGATGGCCTCAAAGCCAACCTTAAAATCTCTGGCATAGACACTGAGAACTGGGAAGCCCTGGCCCTTGAGCGCTCCAGCTGGAGGTCAGCTGTGATCAGCAGCGCTGTAGAATTCGAGGAGGCACGAGTGGAGGGTGAAAGAGAGAAATGTGCCAGGAGGAAGGCGTGTCAAGCCAACCCCGACCGGGACTGCCTTCCACCTGGAAACCAATGCCTTCACTGTGGGAGAAGATGTGGGTCAAGAAGAGGGCTCCACAGCCACCTACAAACCCACAAGGAAACCCATCATGGAAGACCATCTTACTCGTCCAACGAGGGATCGGAAACATTCAATTCCAATTTTTGACATACGAACATATACAGGCATACACAGAGGCTATTTAATTTTTTCTGGCCGCCAGGGGAACTGTCGCTTTCATCGTCCATCTGCGACGCTGATGAAGCACTTCCGCATTCCCCGCATGCTTCCCCACTGGAATGCTTTGCTGGAGTCTTCTTTATGGCCTCATAAATCAGTTAATTTAGCCTCCCCACACTTTAAGGTGGTACCTAATTTTCCTACTTGACAGATGCAACTGTCTTTCGGGTTGCAAAGGTCGACAACAGGCTACACACAATTGGTTGGAAACCCACTCCAACCCGCGCTGGCTTCAAATTCATGACCTTGTGGTCAGAGTGATCTTAATGCAGCTGACACTCAGCCAGCTGCACCACAATCCCGGTGTAACTCACAGATTACGGTTTTCATCCAAAATATCCGGGGGCTTTAATCTTCACATTTCTATCTATCTATCTATCTATCTATCTATCTATCTATCTTCTATCTATCCATCCATCCATCCATCCATCCATCTATCCATCCATCCATCCATCCATCCATCCATCCATCTATTTATCTTATCTATCTATCTATCTATCTATCCATCTATCATCCATCCATCCATATCCATCCCTCTATCCATCTATCCATCTATTTATCATCCATCTATCCATCTATCTCTATCTATCTATCTATCCTATCTATCTATCTATCCATCTATCCATCTATCCATCTATCTATCTATCCATCTATCTATCTATCCATCTATCTATCCATCCATCCATTTATCCATCCATCTATCCATCTATTTATCCATCTATTTATCCATCCATCCATCCATCTATCCATCTATCTATCTATCCATCTATCTATCTATCCATCTATCCATCTATCTATCTATCCATCTATCCATCTATCTATCTATCCATCTATCTATCCATCTATCTATCCATCTATCTATCCATCCATCCATCCATTTATCCATCTATTTATCCATCTATTTATCCATCCATCCATCCATCCATCTATCCATCCATCTATCCATCCATCTATCCATCCATCTATCCATCCATCCATCTATCCATCCATCTATCCATCTATCCATCCATCCATCCATCCACCCATCTATCTATGCTTCCCCGGAG